TTGGACCGAAACTGGCGGATAAAATGGCCGATCCATGTACGCAAATAATGTTAAAGTATGGAATATCAAGGTTGTGAACCCTCTAGAGGTCACAATTTTGATTCGATTTTGACGGAACTTAATACGTGTGTTTATATCCTAAAGATCTCGATTCCTGTCGATATTTGCGCATATCGACAGGAATATGGGCCACTGATTGTACGATAAAATCGCAATTTTAGCCTGCGGGGTTTAGATGGGCTTTAACGTCCACTCAACACAAATTAGGTAATTTCGGGACTAACATATGGTTCAATGTTATTTCATTAATTCGTTTGCGCGTATGGGTATTTAGGAGTGGGAGGAAACCGGAGGACCCGGAGAAAACCCACGAGACTGGGCAGGCGACCCTACTTCTTGCCACTTACATGTAAAACTATCTTAGTGACAACAGAGATCAGTTTAGTAAATATATGATTTATTTACATCAGGTATATAAAACAGCCACAGTTACATACATACAACAATACAGGAACTTAAACTAATATACAGGAACTAGACTACGACAGGAACACATATAATATTAAATCCACCATTCTGCCCCTCTGCCAAAGCAGTGGCTGAACTCGGGTAAGTCCATACGCCAGTCTCTCCGTCTCCGCTCTTATCTAGTCGTCTGCCTAACTATCAGCAAACTCCTCGTTATATACCTAGCAAACTCCTCGTTATATACCTTTAGACAATAGATAAGACACATAGTCATACATGCAATTGTCTCTTTTATCTCGTCATGGCATGCTTACTGACCAGTGCGTATTCCTTTGAAGTAATGCGGAGCTTGTGCACAGATCATAATGTAGTTTGTAATGACATATGGGATTAATTACATGTTTAATTAGATCATAGCCAGTTCGTGCTTTAACAGAAGTTTAAACACCAAACATTGGTGTGTCTAGTCCTATGCTAATCAGAAATGCCTTACAAAAAACTACTGACTGTTCGCTGGCAGTTAAACAGTGGATGAAAGCGAACAAACTAAAATTGAACGACGATAAAACAGAGGCTCTTTTAGTAGGTTCATCACAACAACTCAAGTTACTACCTGATCTTAAAATCACCATTGGTAATTCAGAAATAAATTTCTCCAAAAATGTTCGAAACCTTGGAGTGATATTTGATCCTTCTCTGACAATGGACGCTCAGGTTGATATGGTATGCCGTACATGCTACTATCATCTACGCTGTATATGCAACATCAGAAACTATCTCACTGCTGACGCTTGTAAACTACTTGTGAGATCACTTATTTTATCAAGGATTGATTATTGTAATAGTTTACTCTATGGAATCCCACAAGCATTTCTAGCCAAGATCCAAAAGGTTCTTAATACTGCAGCCCGAATAGTAACAAGGACACATAAGTTTGATCACATCCAGAATGTGCTGGCTTCTTTACATTGGTTACCTGCTGAGGCGCGAGTCAAATACAAAATACTAACATTAGTGTATAAATGTCGCAATAATGCAGCTCCTCAATACTTATCTGAACTCTTATATGACTACAACCCTATTAGATCACTTCGCTCTCAAAATAAACAGTCACTAGTTGTTCCAAGATATAATTTGAAGTCATATGGGTATAGGTCTTTCAGTTCAGCTGGTCCTAGATTATGGAACGAACTTCCACAACAGATCAAGAATCAACAAACTTTTAATCAATTTAAATCCGCACTAAAGACTTTCCTGTTTCAACAGTTTTACCAGTAGAGCCATTACAAAAAGCGTTTTGAGCATGTGTCAACATGGAGAAGACGCTATATAAAACTTCATTATTATTATTATTATTAGTTGAAACGTCAATAATATATTATCAAAATACAGCAGACGTCATAAAGTTCTAAGCACCTAAATGATCGTTCAATTTGATGAAAGTCATAGAGTACTTTGTCACATACAACCACGCCAGTTGACTCCATGATGAACAGTAGGACGTTAAACTCCATTTCATTTCATTTCATGGCTCCATGACAGACCTTATGATACAACGCACACGCGCTAACCATTCGCCCCCCCCCCCCCCCCGGTTGCCCTTGAACGCAAGTAGTGTAAAAGTTTAGAGGTCACAACTTTTATCCGATTTTGATGAAACTTAATTTATATGTTTATATCCCAAGGATCTCAATTACTTTCGATATTTGCGCACATCAGACCATAACTAAACCTCGTGGATTATGACCCCTCACTATACGAAAAGTCACATTTTTAGCGTGTGCACCATCTAGATATCACAGTTTTTATCCGGTTTTGAAATCCGTTGAAATATATCACCGTTGCATCGTAATGAAGGTTGAGTTCGAATTTCGGGAAAATTAAAACGAGACCACCCGACAATGGCCGCTCCTTGTACGCAAATCGTGTAAAAGTATGCAATACGAAGGTCGTGGAATCTGAGGTCACAATTTTGATGAAACTTAAAATATATCTTTAAATCCCAACGATCTCAGTTCCTTTCGATGACTTCTCATGTCCAGTTTTACCATAATATGAGATGACCTATATCGACATCACGACTTCCCTATGGTATTCAATATTCAGTTATTCACTCATATGAGTTCTATACATAAATCTGTTTTTGTAGTCAACACTAAAATATCTTGATCTTTAATGGAGCATTCGGTAAGATTAGATACATAGCTGACAGTTCTCGCTATAATAGTGAAGAAGGGGATAATGAAACAAAATATGCCGAAAATTTCAGTTCAATTGCTTCACCCTGAACCGAGAAATTAGCGATCCAATTTTAGGCTAGTCTCGGTCGTCATTACTAACGCTGGTATGATAATAAACAAAGTGTCGATTATCCATTTTTACGTTAAATTATCCATCACAAAAAGTATTCAAATCCAGTAAATATCGCAGGCTTACGATGTCATCGAGGGTTGATTATGGTCTGGATAAGTTAATTCATGTCGAATTAATGATTTAGATAACATTCCAGACCTAAAGAATGACCTGCAATAGGCAGATTTAGCTCTTCCTTAATGCATGTTTTCAACATGAAATATTTCAATAACACAACAGTTATATTGATAACAATAATCAATTACCGTATTTCTATTAAAGCTACGTTTCAACAATGATTCTCTTGTCGTTATTAAGTACAAGACCGAAACAGACACTATATATACACTATGTACAATCTAAACATTCAATGAAACCATTTAAAATTAGGACAGGGGCGGATTGGGCCATCGGGCGATTGCCCGAAGGGCCGGTCGGACAAAAAATGAAAAAATAATTTTGTTCAATTCGTCTAAAAAACCTTTTTTGTGCTGAAAATTATATGGGGGCCGGGGGTATTGGACCGGCCATGGAGCGATGATGATCATGTTGTATGTGGCCGGTGGCTTTAACAGGCCGCCACGCCATCACTGGAGTCTGGAATGGGCTGGTATAATAGACTTTCTGGGCCGGGTGTGCTGGGTGTGGGCCGGAATTCGGAATCTTGCAATGGGGATTCCGAATTTCATCCGAAAATTTCATCGGATTCACCCGACAATTTACTAATTATTGAGTCACCTGCACCCTGTTTGTGGGGATACGCCAGAAACGTCTGCCAATGGTTCGTATATCAAAAAAAAATTCAATTTTAAGGCCTCAGCAAAATTTGGTGATAGCTAGTCTTCTGGCTGAATTTGACAGAGATTATAATCAGATATGCCACCAAATCGCATATTTGGGGTTCATTTTTCAAAATTTTCCCGGGGGAGAGCACCCGGACCCCCCGTCCGGGCTCCGCTGCCAGTAAAAGGTTCCCGGCCCCAATCCGCCCCTGAGTTAAACCTTTGATTGTGTCATTGAACGTTTAGATTGTACATAGTATATATATAAATGTATATATTTAGTTCCATCTGTCTGTATCAAAATTGTGCTAGATCACGACAAGAGAATGATTGTTGAAACGTAGCTTTAATAGAAATACAGCTATTGTTATCCATAGAACTGTTGTTTTTATTTTAACGTGTTCAATTACTAAATGGCATTCAAACAGTATATGAAATATTTCCGGAGGTTCACTATTATGTGCTGTATACATGTATGTTGATAGAAAGTAGCAGGTGCATGCTGATATTAACCACTCTTCCCCCATCTCCCGGAAAAAAAACCCTTTGGGATTAACCCACGACAGTTAAATAAATGACTGTCCTTCAAATAAATCACATCTGGTATTACATCCCCCATCCATCGTGTATGGAACAGAAACATAATTTATCGAATGGATAGTAAAAATGACCAGCATCATATTTTCAGAATGGAACAGAGTGATGCTCATTATGCTATGTTTGATCTACTGTAGAGAGACTTTATAACATATATAAAGCTTTTAAAAAACAACTAAAATTTGGAATTATTTACAGTTTATAAAAATTATATTCTTTAATCATCAAAAAATAATAATCAATTATTAAAATGCTTTACAAATTACACAACAAAAATAAGCAATGTTTATATCATAAAACCAATAAAAAGCTGCAGGAAATAAAGTGATCAAATTAAAAGAGTTTGCACGAAGCCAGTTTGATTATATACCCTATGCCAATTACATACATCTATGGGATATATGACTGTTTATGTGCCACATCCTCAAAACACTTTTCAGTTGTTTGATTACACTAACATAATATGCACTGTTTGATAACACTGGGACATTGCATGCAGGACATGAACATCTGCCTATGTTTATTCACACCACAATTAATCGTAAGCTCTTTTTCCTAATCACGACTTTTCCCCAAAATTTGCCAATGAAAAGTTAATATGGAATGAAACAAATACGACATTGGGAATTCGATCTAGAATGTTCATTTTTTTTTTTAAAAATGTGTCCTTATTTTGATTCAGTGTATTTTGTGGCTATACACTGTAATAGGAAAATGTGATTTCATGTTTGGTCAAAGATCACGATATGTAAACAGAGCTAGCAATATTCCTAACCCTAAACCCTGGACCTAGACCTAATGCTTACCCTAACCCTAACCTACAATCTCGCCAATAATCACACATTATTTACATCTCAGCGACCATGACGAAAATTGATCTGGCCTTAACAAGTAGATTTAACCTATCCAACCCATAGGCGCTACTTCACTCCTACTTGCCGTTATTTTTCGAGATTTTAGTACGGTTATTTTATTTCTTCAAGTAGATCCTCGTTGTGCAGAATGAGGTTTTTGTATCTTTCATTGTTATATCTTGTTACCATTCAGGTGGTGAACTGCAGTGTTTGAAAACGTCATGGAATGAATTCCCTGGAGTTTTTAACATTATTTATGACTATTTATTCATCATTAAGTAGTAAAATATGTTAAATAACATAAAAACAAAACCAGTTTTGAATATTTACGCTACATATCATCCAGAAAAATGAAAACCGGGACATATCGGAGTATGTTCGAAAATCAGAAATATCGCCCAGCTCAACATTTGAATAAAGAACCAAACCTTTTAAAACTGGTACACATTACACCAGCTAGTTTTTGTATAATGTAATGTATATTGGTGTAGAGCAGAACATAATTCAATAAACATTTGACCGCTGTGATGTCATATATATACCCTGTGGGAAAATCTAATATATCTCGATTAATTATGAATAGATTAAATTAAACACCTTTAAGCGCATGTCATTTTTATGTGTTTACTATATGTGCATTTATCCAATAAATAGGACTAATTTTGATTAACGGTAAGTCAGATAGTTACAATAAAGAGGGGAAATATCATATTTTTTACATACACTTTATTTTTATCAAAAGAAATATTATGTGAACCTTATTATACTAAACTAATTGCTTCATAGCTAATCACCTATGCATTGATTGACCAGTGAAGTACCAGGGGAGTTAATAAATGTTTTAACCAAACATGTTTAACGCTTCACAACTGTGCAAAGCATGGAGTCAAGTTGGGTAGTAAATGAAATGAAGTGAAATGGGGTTTAACGTCCTACTGTTCTGCTCAATGCTGGGCTAATGAAGACAGTTATATGCCATACAGTGTGCTATGAGGGATATTTTGCCCGGGCAGCGGCACTATCGCCTACTCTTATATCGAATTCCAACAGCCAAGGGATCTTTTACATGCATTCCAATGTATACACGGGACCTCGGTTTTTCGTCTCATCTGAAGGGCTAGACAGTTGTCCTTGTCAGGCCCTCCGTCCTGCATCACTGACAAGGGGGAACCACGCCGGAAAAAAGTTGGGTAGGGCTTATTAAGCAGATTCTCTCTAGATGTGTAGCTATTTGTTGTCAGAATCACTGTAGCTATTGGATGCCATAATTGTAATAATGTATGTTGTGTCACACTTTAAATGCTATAATATATTAAAGATACATTATTGGAGATTCGATAACGAGTTAGTAGTTCTCACTATAATAGTTAAAAACTTAACTATGAACTGAGAACTAAGCGATTGAAATTTCCGCCTAGACTCGATCTTCATTACTAAAGTCAGTACGATAAACAGTATCCATTTAATCGTTAAATCATGAAGGAAAGTTATGCAGTAAATCGGCTCATAATTCACTAAAGATCGCATGCTAGCGATGCCATCTAGAGTTGATTATGGTTTGAATAGGTTAATATACATGTATGTCTAATTAATAATTACATAACTTTCTGGCATAAAGACCTGCAATAGACAGATTTAGCTCTTGCATAATGTATGTTTAATATCTTGTTTGATCTGAAGTGTTAGCCAATGATCAAAACAAATAAATTCAAATCTGTTTACAAATTTAGGTTCTCTAACAAGAGGTGAGTTATTAAAGAAACCTAAGTGACTAGTTTTGGTAATAATTATAGAATATGAAAATAACATTAATTAACAATATTAATCTGTACACATGGAAATATCAGCTATGGTTATCTACCAGAACATTTCACTAATTTAAGTTTAGTTTTTGGGTCATACTTTCAACTAAAAACAAAATTATCCTAACCTTGGCATCCAATGAGGAAAGAACCCACATCCTTTTAAAATTAAAAATCCTTCAAAACCATTCCCTCATATAACATTAATATTTAACAACAATTTGATCAGTTGTTCAGTTTCCTTTCTATATTTTCACAATATTTTTCAAGTTGCTTCGTAAATATAGATGATAGTTTACCACAATTTGTCGCCATAGTGTCTTTTAAAAGTCTCTTTAAATGAACAAGTAATCCATATTCAATAGTGGAAGAAAATTTATGATCTAGAAATGCTTTGTAAACAGCTTTGAAAGCTGGTTGTTTTTCGTTGTGCATCACACGTCGACTTCCGTGTAAGAGATAAACCCCATGTATATCAATCCCTTTACATACACTCATATACATACAATGATCGGGTCTATAGTTCCATTCACATGGATAAATAAATAATTCTTGTGGATGATAATGAAAGTATATATTAATGAGATCTTGGTCACCCCAAGTGATTTGCATTTTATATTGTTTATAATATTCTATTAGATCATGCAACCAATTACTTTGTCTGATCCGGGTTAAATTCATTAACATGACCCCAGAGTTGACCCCTAACAAGCCATAATAAGGATGTCTGGCAAAGCGATTGTACCATCCTGTGGCTCTATCTTCATGTTCAGGAGCAAGGGCAGCTAACTGTGTTGCATTAAATTTAGAAAAGAAACTATAAATTTCTTCAATTGGAGACAGAAACAGAACATCAGTGTCAACATAAAGGAGAGAATCTACTTCTGTCAACAAATCTGGAATAAACATTCTCTGGGAAGCACATGGTTTAAACAATGTTTTCCACTCCTCTGTATTTTCTCCTGGTGGAAATGTTATATCATAAATATAATAATCAATCTTTGATCTGTACTTTTCAGGCCAAAATTCTAACTGATCTTTAAATTTAAACTGGATATCTTTTTCACAAAAAATATGGAATTGTAAATGCGATGACGTTAATAACACTGCAGATTTTAGAACAATCACAGTTTCTTCAAAGCGATCTCCACAAGCTACGACAGAAAGATGTATACCTCCTGCTTTCATTTGATCTGTTGATGAAAAGACTGGTTTGATTCTAAACTCATTAGTTTTTTTAGGCTTATAATTACTACCTTCTTGTATGATGTTGTCATTTATTTTAACTTCTTTTTCTTTGGGGACTATATAGTTTGCATCTTTGTTATTTTCATTTTTTGAAAGGATTTCCAACTTTTTATCTACAGTTTCTGCATGTTTTTTATTTAAATTTTGAACAGTATCATGAATATGGTCATTTTGAACAACTTCATGAGGTTTGTTATTAATGACATCTCCTCTATATTCATCTTTGGCCAGTTTATCTAAATCAATGTTATTGTGTGGTTTTCTACTTTCATTTTTAGTTTCTATCAAAAAGTAAATAATAACTGCCACAACAACTATCACCGTAACTCCAAACTTGAATATCATTCTTAATTTCATTGGAACTGGAACGTATGACCGACGTCAATCGGTCGAGTCACAGTGTCACATTTACTTGTCACAAGATGAATTATTAACCCTCTATAAACACTAACAACATTCAAAAACTTTAGTCAGAATATTTATAAACTTATTACTATATTATATTATTATAAATATATCATCTTGCGAAAACCATAACTTTAAAGACTTTCCAAGTTGAAGAGCTGACATATTTGACCACGTGGTTCAATGTTTACTTTTCCAACTCGATTTTGTAGACTCGATTAACAGCTTTTTGTACGGCTGGTTGATAGATATAACCTAAATGTTATAAAAGAGATCATACTTAGAAATTCAAAATTTACGCCAATTTTCAAAAGCAATCCGCACATCTCGTGCAATATGATTAATGTTTTAAATCCCCCAAACGAAATTGCCAGTCAGGTTGTTTCATATAATATATAAGTGTCTCCAAGAAAGAGCATCAGAGTTACCTGTTAACCAACACCCCAGATCAATATAATAATATGTTTATTATACTAATACTTACGGTAGAAATAGTTTGTTTATTTTTCAGGCTAGTTTAGATAATTTTCGTTTTAGCTCTATACTGATTCTCATTATACCGACCATCTTTTAATGCCTATAGACTTGTTATATCACATTGTACATCCATAAAGGATCACCCCAGATGTTATGACAGTTATGTTACAATTGTATGATCAACTTTTGTTTAAACTGTGTATGCTGTCCTTGGTGGATGCAATGATACAATAAAATCTTATCTTATCTTATCTTACTTCGAGAACAGGCGCGGATTGAGGGTGGGTGGGGTTGGGGAGGATCAATTATGAGCCCCTAAGCAGTGGCATGGCGGTTAAGGGGGCAAAGGCACGCCCTTCAACTACGGGTAGGAGGGCCTCCCCCAGAAATTTTAGAAAAACAGGCTGCCGGAAATGCAGCCTGGCAGTATTTCAGGCACTGATCGTTGAGATAAAGTGTCAAACGACCGAATCTCGACGAAGCCCACTCACGAGCGCCAAAGTAGGGAATCACGAATTTTTTTTTTAAAAAAAAAAGACTGTCGGAAATGCTGTCTGACAGTATTTAGACACCGATTGTCGAGATAAATAGAGCTGATCAGATACCGTCTGTCGCCAAATCAGAAATCACTAGTTTATCCGACCAGAGAAGAAAGTGTCAAACGGACGGAGTGAGAGAATCAAAGTGAATGAATATTTTCTCCACGATATTTTGTGAAATAGAGTGCCGGAAATGCAGACGGGCAGTATTTCAGAAATTGAGCTGACCAGATACTGTTCGTCGCCAAATCACCAGCTTATCCGAACAGAGAGGGAAATGTCAAACGAACGGAGTGAGTGTATCAAGTGAGTGCATATTCTCGCCGCTTTGAACCTATAGCCTATACCCAAAAACTTCGAGGTTTACGTGTAATTGTTTATAGTAGGTTTACAGCAAAAATCACTCAGCAGGCTGTACAACGTGCAAGTCTATGACTGAGTGGCGGTGTGGGATTTAATCACCGTAGAAGGTATTGATTACCGAAACGCATCACAAGTAATGTTTTTTTTTATTTTCCAAGATTATTGGCGGGGGGGTAAACAGAGGGCAGACCAGATTTATGAGCCCCCCCCCCTTTTCCCCACCCCACTTGACGCCGCCACTGCATCTTGGGTCCCAACTCTACCAACTCACTATCTTTTTATATGCCCTATTATATATATGGATATATATGTAATAGATTTCCGCGAATAAGTGTCTATAGGAGATAAAACATAGATTTTTTAAACGAGAAGTATATCTGAACATATTATTTATTAGTATTATACAACAAAAAGCGCATATAGCCTTATTCTATAAGAAAAATCAAAATGAAAGATACACCAGATAAAAGCCCTATTAAACATATTTAACTTGCATTCGCTTTTAAAGGAGCTAAATCGCTAATATTTGGGACCTAGAAATTGTCACAAATTGGTCGCACTAACCGCGACATGTGTTTCGGGCATATTTGTTTCATCAGTGACACTTCTGGTGTCATGTGAATGCAAAGACAACAGCCTGCAGTGATTGATTTGTTGATTGGAATTCAGATGTCTTCATTAAAATAGACCACTTTCAGGTTGCCGTATTCACGACCTGCAAGAAAACGCGTTTTCCGGCTTGTAATTTCCATAAATTTTCTGGGGGAGACAGGGCCCAACAAATCCCCCGACGGTGCGATTCACCACTTCGGCACTCGACAGTGACCTTTAAGAGACGTCGAAAACCATTTAAAAGACAGTAAAAGTCATATCTTATGAGATTATCGCTGGTCTTGTCGGTAAAATGCCATTTTAAATTTGACAGTCATTTTGAAAGAAATGCCCGGCGCTACATGGGTGCAGATCCCGATGGGGACACCGGGACGCGTCCGCACCAATATTTTTAGTGGTGGGGACATGATATATTGTGCCCCACCACTTATTTCCGATGTTTTGTTTACTGTTTATTTTTTGAAATCGAAATCATTCCAGAGCTTTTATTGACATTTCAGAAAGTGTAGAGTTGGTCCCAGGCACAGAGGCGTAGCCGTGAAATATATATTGGGGGGGGGGGGGCCGCAACCCTAACCCCTTACTCATCTTTAAAACCCCTTACCCTAACCCTAACTCATTTTTAAAACCGCGTGCAAAAGCATTATGGTTACGTTGCTGGCTGAGCGGGCGATAAATATTTGGTTTAGGCGATAATGTTTTTGGGTACCTACATGCGATTCACTCTGATAAGTGGCAGAAAAAATACAATTAACAAAATATTACTTACTGACAGGCTAACTAGACACAATTTTATGGAACACAGTTACTTTTCACTTCACACATGTTTCCAGGATGATTCTCTCTGTGTTTTATTTTAGCAATGTAAACCATATTGGGATATGTACAGGTTTTATACAGATAGAATCTTAACTAATCCTAATAATTGTTATAAATAAATAGGAGTTTAGGCCTACTATGTAAAATTTTTTGGGGGTCCAAGTATATTCAGACCCCCCCCCCCCCCGAAAAACAATTGGGGGGGTCGGACCCCCCCCCACCCATCTGTGACGCCCATACCCAGACACTTGAGGCAAAGGTCCTTGAAGTTGTACAGCTGCACCCGGTGACCTATTTTTATTTAACAGAGAATAAGTGATAATTCATATTATAACAGTAAATAATTAAAATATTCCATAGGGATTATAATATGTATATCATGTAGGTGTGCATATCTGATACGCTGGGTATTAAAGGAATAACTGAGATTTTGTTTTTATCTGGTATATTGGATGATAAATCACCTAACTAAAGGATTTAGTTTGTATATCAGGGGAACCTTCATTGCTAGATTTGCCGCCATACTAAATAAACGTATTTTTAAAGACTGGTTTCTATCTCTCTCTGTGGAATATAAGCAATTAAATCTAAAATTTAAGACCCGAGCCCTCTATTTTTTGGAGTACAGTAAGCTGAGCCAAGAATCGTGTACTTATTATCGGAAAAGACATTTTTTAAAACCTGTCATGGGCCGTCCAGAAAGAAGACAAAGGAAAAGAAAGGGGCAGAGTGGATATAAGTGTACTGTTCTTTAGTTTTAAATATATTAAACACTTTATTGAATGGGGTTTTTTTTCGATTAAAAAATTGCTCTCTGAACTATTTTGTTATTGGTAAAAACTCCTCAGAATCGCTGAGAATGCATATTTAAACACCATTTTGTAACAAAAATTTAAAAAATTGTAAAAGAGACCCCCCCACCCCTAGCAGCTCGCGCCACCGGCGTTCGGTTATATAGTCGGTCCTTTTGTTTTACAAACGAACCCGCCCACCTTGCTTCCAGCCTACAAACTCTGTATGAACACTTATAAATTTCTAAAGAAAATATTCTTTAAATTATTATTAGGATCTACACTGCGTCGTGGAGATGTCCCAGAATAAAAAACAAAAGCCGTTAGGCCGGAAGATATACGATATTTTCAAGAACAGCAAGAATAACACAGCGTGGCCAGCCCCTTGGCCTACAGTTACTTCGGATTCTTCTGTTTCCGTATCTTTGGACGATATCTGTGAAAATTCATGTGAGGATGATATATATTCTAGGACAGATAAATCTCCGGTTTGTAGTACAAGCTCCGATACAGGAAAGAAAGTACCTGTACTACCCTTACCTGTTACAGATCAGCCGTATCAACCAACCGATTTGACTTTCATGACCACACTAACAGTGAAAATGGGCGGTAAAAGCCGGTGATAAAACGAAGAATTTGAGTACATGAGAGAATAAATCGTGAACGGTGGCTTGAAAATTTGTCTTTAGATTAGATTTCGTATCATTTGCTGCCTCAGGGATTAGAATTGTTTGCCAGAAAATGATGCTGAAAATACCCACAGAGTGCGTTTTAGAGCGTCTAGTTTTCAAAAAATTGCGGGGGAGGACCGTCGAACCCCCCTCTTTACCAATAGTCGCCCGCGCATGGACTGTCCCCACCACTAATTTTTGGCGATCTGTGCCCCTGCGGCGCTATATATATGTGAAAAATATATTATCGGAAAAGACATTTTTGGCAGAGTGGATATAAGTGTACTGTTCTTTAGTTTTAAATATATTAAACACTTTATTGAATGGGGTTTTTTTTTCGATTAAAAAATTGCTCTCTGAACTATTTTGTTATTGGTAAAAACTCCTCAGAATCGCTGAGAATGCATATTTAGACACCATTTTGTAACAAAAATTTAAAAAATTGTAAAAGAGACCCCCCCCCCACCCCTAGCAGCTCGCGCCACCGGCGTTCGGTTATATAGTCGGTCCTTTTGTTTTACAAACGAACCCGCCCACCTTGCTTCCAGCCTACAAACTCTGTATGAACACTTATAAATTTCTAAAGAAAATATTCTTTAAATTATTATTAGGATCTACACTGCGTCGTGGAGATGTCCCAGAATAAAAAACAAAAGCCGTTAGGCCGGAAGATATACGATATTTTCAAGAACAGCAAGAATAACACAGCGTGGCCAGCCCCTTGGCCTACAGTTACTTCGGATTCTTCTGTTTCCGTATCTTTGGACGATATCTGTGAAAATTCATGTGAGGATGATATATATTCTAGGACAGATAAATCTCCGGTTTGTAGTACAAGCTCCGATACAGGAAAGAAAGTACCTGTACTACCCTTACCTGTTACAGATCAGCCGT